AGAGCCAGGTGTTTGGAGCGGTGTACCGGACTCAGCAGGTGGAGGGTCTGTGGCGAGTCTCGCGGAGGAGCGAGTTATTCTGGATGACATGAGAAAGTGGTCTTTTGTTTTAGATTATGCGTGATGATATTAGGGTCTGAAGAAAGAAAAAGACAGAAAAAGAAGTCCGGGATGGGTCAAAGCGATAGGCAGATAGTTGGGTAGACAGATGACGAATCTAGAAATGCAGAAGTGATGGATCCCGATGAAACTGCGGAGAATCCACTTAACAATCCAGGGGACAGATTGGGGGGTACGAGCACTCAGGGATCAAATCAACAGATTCCCAGTGAGAATCCACGGAATATGAGTCTGAACCTCAACCAGTGTACTTTTGAAGGCGAAGAGAATGGGAAACTACCTCAGGGAAGAAGAGGCCGAAGTGCCTGCGGGGGGAGACGGGATAATCCTCGAGAGGGTCCTGGCGGTTGGCGGAAGGCCTTTGCCTGGCCATAAGTTATCGGGTATAGGAATCTCGATTGAGTAGTCGTCACCGTTGTTAACCCGCCATCCACCTATCGAAGGCTAGCCGAGAGGGCTGGCGAGAACGATGTTTCGGGTAGCTGTTACTGTTGCCGTTGGGCCTAGGAGATCTCAAGAAAAGAATGATTTACCAATTCCGGTCACACAGAAGATAATTTTTCAGATGGTGGGGGGGTTAAAAAGAAAGGGGAAAAAGAAAAGGAGGGTTTGACGTGGTGGTTGATGGGATTCGGCGAGCGTCAGGCGGCGGAAGTGCAACATTTCGATGATCTAACCAGGTCCTTGTATAGTTACTTGGACATGCTGTATATATTACCTATTATACATGCTATTTATTAGAATACTTTATCGCACAATTACTTCTAAATGGCTCTCTTGATTTCCTTATTTGCATCTCGCCTGAATATCGGGCATGGAGGGGCCTGAGACCTGACAGTACAAATGGCAAGGAATATCACAAGGAATAATATCTCAAGGGTCCATTGTATATCTTTTTTTATGGTATACCTGTTGTATTCGATACGATCTAGTTATTTGAATACAGACAAAGACGTTCATTAATATACTCCATCGGAGTACCTTGATGTATATATAGTGCTCAATAAAACCGAACCACTCCGTACCTATGTTATAGGTAAGAATGAAGGACCTTGAGAGCTCAAATAACCTTATCAAACTGAATTTATACCTCGCTATTCATTATTACTATGAACCCCCAAAGTGGAATAGAACGGCGATCGATCCGGATCGCGGAGACGCACCGAGTAGAACTGGATTGACTCACCGAGCCATCTTATTAATCACGGGGAAACTCTAGGGCTAGAACGTGATATTCAAAGAGAAAAGGGCGAAGAAACGAGGGAAAAAGAACGACATTTCACTTCTTCCATCTTTCACCTTTCACCTTTCACCTCCGTCCGTTCACTTTTCCGGCGCATTCTCTTGCCGCCTTCGGTTCGCCCCCCCCCATTCGCAATTCACAGAAACTCATCTTCACTTCTCATCTCCCCCGCCTTTCTCCGATACCGTTTTGCCTTCCCCGGAATTCAAGATCTTCTAGTATATTCCTCTATTCACTATCTCTCCATGACAGTCGATATGGTCAGCGGGCAGAGCGATGATGTCCACCAGATACCCGCCGACACCACCCCCGCCTCCATGGACCACTACACCTTCCCAGAGTATCGCCTCAAGCGGACGATGAACGACCCAGAAAAGACTCCTCTCCTGCTGGTTGCTTGTGGTTCCTTCTCCCCAATTACCTATTTACACCTCCGAATGTTCGAAATGGCTGCCGATCACGTCAGATTCAGCACGGACTTTGAAATCATTGGAGGATACCTATCGCCGGTGTCGGATGCCTATCGTAAGGCCGGCTTGGTCAGTGCGGAGGATCGGTAGGCGATTCTACCTCCATCCTATTCGGTCTATTCGGAGCTAAAGGAGATTCATCTATAGGGTTGCGATGTGCCAACTTGCAGTCGATCAAACCTCCGACTGGTTGATGGTGGACACATGGGAGCCAATTCAGAAGGCCTATCAGCCAACAGCTGTGGTGCTGGACCATTTCGATCATGAAATCAATGAGGTCCGTAAGGGTGTGGATGCCGGAAACGGAACCCGGAAGCCCGTTCGCATTTCTCTGCTAGCCGGTGCGGATCTGATCCATACTATGTCCACACCTGGTGTGTGGAGTGAGAAGGATCTGGATCACATTTTAGGAAAATATGGCGTAAGTTTATTCTAACATCCAAATCGGTTCATCCTGCGCTCGAGAAATGGATCGCTAATACACCTTTCAGTCTTTCATTGTGGAGCGCAGTGGCACCGATATCGATGAAGCCCTGGCCAGCTTGCAGCCCTGGAAAGACAATATCCATGTCATCCAGCAGCTCATTCAGAATGATGTTAGCAGCACAAAGATTCGACTCTTCTTGCGACGTGAGATGAGTGTGCGTTATCTCATCCCAGTTCCAGTCATTCATTACATTGAGCAGCATCATCTATATGAGGATGATGGCACGGCAGAGAAGGGTAAAGACAAACAGGAGGGTCGACAAGGATGATACGACGATTTACTACTGCCTATTGAGGCATACTCATAATGACCCCTAGCGACGCGACATCCTGATGCGATACCCTGCCTTCTGTCTTCTCGTGTGCGACAGATGATGTTTTTTTGTTGGAGTTTGGGGAGTATTTCCGAGTTCTAAATATGGTCTCTGCGCTTGCTAGAAGCTATTATCAGCGGGAGAGTCTTGCAATTATCCCCGCGGCCAACGGCATGTAAATACTATTTTCGGGGCTTGCTTTCTCTCCTTTTTTTGGTTATACCCTCTATACATACAAGGATTCAATAGACCTCCATTCCTCAAAATCCGTTCGGACTAATATTCTAGGTTCTCTTATGCCTCGGCCTCGGAAATACTCCAATAGGCAAGTATATGGCCTCCACATTCACCATTATAGCATAAAATGACACCATTTTGTCAGACGGGTTTAGACGGAGCTATGGACATTGGCACAAAATCAAGGTCAGAAAGGGGTACGTTGCATAGTAATCTATCAAATCGCCACGCAAAAGATGTATGTAATCCCCGGTCTCACACGAGAAAACACCGATCTCCGATCGCCCACTGTTACCTTCCGTTATCGACTGATCTTGGATCGGCCCCCGCAAGTTAACCGGCGCCCAGGGGTGCGAAGAGATCACTTCACTCATAAATTCCTTTTACTTCTAGCCATTATGCTATAGATATCGAGAAGCACCCGCCATGTCAATATTCGAACCCGCCCACGAACCCTCGTGGCCTCTCACCCCTCCTAATTCCTCCGATCCATCAGCACCAAAAGATGTCTCGTCGGTGGTGACAGCAATCCATGTGATCTCAACCGAGCGGGCAGCCCTCGCCCACCTCGAGCACATCTACCAGACCGATGCGCGAGCGCAGCACGATCTCGCCCGCGCGGTGGATCAGATTGCGCGGAGCGTGCGCGAGGGTGGGAAACTGGTGGTTTGCGGGGTTGGGAAAAGTGGGAAGGTCGGACGCAAAATCGAGGCGACGATGAATAGCTTGGGCGTATATAGCGCGTTCCTGCATCCGACTGAAGCCTTGCATGGCGACCTGGGATTGGTTCGGCCGGTAAGCCCACCTGCGCCTGCGCCTGCAGATGTGTGCTTTTGAAACATGATCGCACCACAATCGCAATCGCTTGGCTTGTGATAAAGACATTGGAAACTTTGATACTGACCTGGTTTATCCAGAATGATACCATTCTTCTCATATCCTTCTCTGGTCGCTCGGCGGAACTTTTATCGCTGCTCCCGCATCTCCCCGCTACTGTCCCGGTGATCGCTCTTACGTCGCATACACATCCGGCGACGTGTCCGCTTCTCTCGTTGCATGGCCCTGCGGGAATGGGCATTCTTTTGCCGGCCCCGATTCATGAAGATGAAGAGTCTTCTTTCGGTGTGTGCGCGCCCACATCGTCTACGACGGTGGCCTTGGCGCTCGGCGATGCGCTGGCTATTGCTACGGCCCGGAAGCTGCACAGTGCAACAGGGAAGAGTCCTGCAGAGGTATTTCGGGGGTTCCACCCTGGTGGTGCAATTGGAGCGGCGGCGGCAGAGACACCGCTGACCACGCCGTCGAGCGGCATGTCAACGAGGATGTTTGACTCTCCAACCTCGTCTGTGTCGCTTCCGTGGGAGGAAATCACCCCGTCGATCCCGCCTTTCAATTTACAGGCGCCACCGGAACAGCGCGTCATTTGTCGAGATATGCTGGTGTCGCTCGATCAAATCCCCACTGCCTCTGCGTCATCGAAGTCACCTGGCGATGTCAGACTTCTCGATATCCTTCTCACAGCCATCCAGCACCCTAATGCCAAATCGTGGGTGTTGTTGTCTCCGTCCGAAATAATTCCTCCGCGGCGCATTCGTGCTCTTCTTTCTCCTAGTGGAGATATGGATGTGCGTGTGTCCGAGGTTATGGCCAAGAACCCCGGTACTCCATTCGTTGTACCCCAAAGCAAATGGCTCTTGGTGCCAGACTCGACACCCCTGGCTGAGATTCGGCGTACTATATGTGAATCTCAAAATGGACCAGACCCAGTCTCTGTCGTTGCTGTCGTGAAGGATATGGCCTCTCCCGACAGTTTCTTAGGAGTGATGGAGGCAGAGGATCTATTGGATGGATAACATGACTGAAAAGCGTCCTCTTTTCTTTTTCTTTCTTGGATATACACACCTGATTTTACATATCGTTCGCATTATCATGCATTCGGTTGACGATGTTACGCCCACTTTGTTTATACATACATTTTTAGATGCACATTTACAACCGAAGCCTGAGCCTCACAGCCAAGGCTGTTCATACACCATGCAAATCAACGCCAATGATATTTCTCATAGTAATACAATCAGTATGCAAAGTCCCGGGTCTATATAGTACAGAACACACATCAATCGTCCGCAATCAAGCCTTAACAATCGGCTTAATACCCTTATGGATAGCAGCAATACCACCTGTGAGGTTCTCAAAGCCCTGACCAGGAATCATAAACCCAGCCTTCTGAATCATACCCCTAAACTCCTCCTGACTAGGGAAGCGCTCAATACTCTCCACGAGATACTGATAGCTATCACGGTCACCAGCCACAACCTGACCAATAAGCGGGATGGCACCAAAGTTCCAACGCTTATAAATGCCATCCAGAATCGGGTTATCGACCTTACTGAACTCCATGCAAGCAAAGACACCACCGGGCTTGAGGACACGATACGCCTCATTCAGCGCAGCCTGCTTATCCGTAAAGTTCCGGATTCCGAAAACAACAGTGTAGAGATCCACCGAGGCGTCGGGGATATGCGGCATGTGCTCAGCGTTGGCCTCGACGAAGTCCAGTCGCGACGTGTTGTAGTAGGGCGTGTCGAGGGAGCGCTTGCGGCCCTCGGCCAGCATGTCGGCGTTGATGTCGCTGATCGTCACGCGGGTTTCCATGTCGTGGTTGACGTTCGTGGCGTGGTCCAGCATGCGGAAGGCGATGTCGCCGGTCCCGCCGGCGATGTCCAAGATGTTCCAGCCGCGCTGGTCGGCGGTCAGGGCGGGCAGGCATGAGCCTGGGTTCAGGGATCGCACGAAGTGGTCTTTCCACAGGCGGTGAATGCCGAGGGACATTAGGTCATTCATGCGGTCGTAGGAGGCTGCCACGGAGCTGAAGACGGCGCCGACTGTAGGGGGATGTTGGTTAGTTATGGGTTCGGGTTTGGTTGTATTGAGATGGTCAATTGGGTAAGATGGTGATTATAATCCTTACCTCGAATCTCCTTCTCTGCCTCGGGCACATTCGTGAAGCCGAAGTGTGTCATGCGGTCATTCTCTGGCTTCTGCTCCTGGACACGGTTGGCACAGGAGAAACAACGGTAGGGAGTAGAGGGTTGGAAAGCGCGACGCTTTGCACTATAGTGCAAAGCTCGCCAGGCGGAGCGAGTTGACATGCTGGACATAATGGAATTGATGTTGTTCGCAGGTCTGGAGAAGCTTGCCAAGGTGAACCGGGCAACTTTTCTTTTCCAGTCCCGGTCCCCACCGGTGCGTGCCTTTAAGCATCACCTCCACTGACCAATCAGAGCGTCTAGTTCATGAGAGGTACAACCTTGGAACCTATACCTCATCTCTTATATACCTCTATTTAGACATGGAAAAGAGACATTGGGACTAGGAGTTGAAATCGGAGTTTATCCTACAACTACGTACGCTCGCCGACTGCTATAATGTGCTATTCTATTTCGGTGACCATTTGGTCTTTCTACGCTCTGGAAATAGCAAACATCAAATGAAACATAATTCAATGAATAAGATGGTATATGTACAAAAAAGCACCAAGTATACAGAAAATCACCACATTTTCTCCCAAATTCGCCGGACCCAATGCATCTGAGCCAGCTCCTCCTTCCGCCGTTCGGCCCAACCACCTTCTTCCCAGATCTTGCACTCTTCATCGATCTCCGCCTTCCCAGAGTACAAATCTGCCTCTGCAACTTTCACAAACGAACTTCGGTGATACACCTTCCAGAAGACAAACATGACGACCCAGAACGCTAGACCGAAGTACGAGGTGATGAAGCCTTGCACACTGAAAGGCTTGAAGACAGAGAAGCCATTGAAGATAGCGGTCGTGGAGCCGATAATGATAGCGAGAATGGCGCCATATGGCTGCCATGGTGCAGCCCAAGGAACGAACGTCTTGCGGTCGATTCCCTGTGCCTTCAAAGCTCGGTACCAGGCGATGAAGACGCAGACCATGCCCGTGTAGGTGAGAACGAAGGCGATGGTGGTCAAATCAACGAACCAGAAGAAGACCTCGACGGAAGAGGTACTGGCCACGAGGAAGGTGATGCAAGACAAAACCGAGACCGTGAGGACACAGTTTATGGGGATGCCGGATGCAGTACATTTCAAAAGGAACTTCGGTGCTTGGCCATCGCGAGCGAGGGAATAGAGTGTGCGGCTGGAGCTGTAAAGGTAGGCATTGCCACATGACCAGCCCGATAACAGAATCAAGAAGTTGATCAGATCGGGCAGGCCCTTGATGCCAAGGTTTTGGATTCCAATGACCCAAGGCGAAGCAGCGGAGCCAGCAGCACCGCCACTAATTGCGGAAATGAGACGTGGGTCGGTTGGGCTGCAGATGATGGCAACAGCTAGGACTCCGACGACATAGAATCCCACAATGCGGTAGAAGGTCATCTTCACAACTCGGGGGATGGTCACTCGTGGGTTCTGGATCTCTCCTGCGGCTAGGGCTGGGAGATCAGGTCCAGCGATGGAGAAGGCTGCATAGACCATGACGGAGAAGAAGCCCAAAAACCGGCCCGTGGTGCCATCGGTATAGTACTCGAACATGACGCCATCGGTCCAATTCCGGAAACCATAGACATCGTGCCTGGGGTTTCCGCCAACCATTGTGATGAAGGTGAGGAGGACGAGTCCGATGAGGAGAAGGATCTTGGTCGACGCTAGGATGAACTCGCTCTCACCGTACCATTTGACCGAGACAAGATTGAGTATCGTGCAAACAACCATTGCCATGGTTACCCAGACGGCGGGATTGACGCTTGTGTTCCAGTATTGCATGACTGTTGACACTGCAGAATACTCCGTACAGACGAGCATTACACCACCATAGAAATATACCCAGCCCCTAGAAGGGTTAGCGTCATGTAGCGTAAAGCCCAGCAAGGTTAGGGCACGGAAGGACTTACATAGCAAATCCAAATGCCGGGTCAATAAACCGGGCAGCGAGCTCAAAGATCGACCCACGAATGGGAAGGTATGCGGCCATTTCCCCAACACACAGATTGACAGGCAAGATGAAGAGGCACCCCCAAACAAGATACCCCAGGAACAGTGACAGCGGGCCGGCATCCCGCAGGTAGGACCCGATACCGACGAAAAGCCCAGTACCGATTGAGCCTCCGATGGCCATTAGTTGCACATGTCGGGATGCTAGACCGCGCTTTGTCTCCCGGTAGGGTAAAACAACGCCTGTGCTAGCATCCTCGGCGGAAACATTTGTAAAAACTTTCTTCTCCATGGCGAAATGCTACTTGAGCCTGGAATGTACTCCAAGTCCAGAGGCGCGGGACATGACTCTTTATATGCGCACTGACCTTGGGGTCAGGATCGGCACCAACGACGTTGATAGATAGACGGCATCGATGTTGATCATCTCTAACACCGCCAAGAGCGTGGGCCGACTCCACACACCACTGATAAGAGATATATCGAGATATCAACTTCAAATCAGCGAATGTCTTCGGGTCATCCCAAAAGGGGGAGGAGAAGGCGATGCTAAACCTTGAAGATCTGCCAAGTGATAAGCTTATCAGGTTATTCGATGGGGATTGTCCAGAGGCCATAGCTCAATGACCAACTAAGACTTTTTGATAAGAGAAGTTAATGTGAATGCCTCAACACGCCTTTGTGGGGTGGACTACTGGAGACTAGGCTGAAAGAGTTCAAAATGTCCGATCGGGCCATGGCCAAGATCAACAAAACCCTCTGTCGGTTCCACTGACCTTTGGCCAAGTACGAATTATGATATTCCCGCTTACCTTGGGAGGGCCGAAGCCATAAGTATACCCCCGCATTTTGAGCCACCGGGGGCCTGACCACTATGTTGTACATGCTGATGCTGGTGTTCCTACAGGTCGAGGCCAGTGATCGGCAGTACTTTTTTATATATTTCTCATAATGGAATTACGTACTCCGTATATACTTGGAGTCAAGATTGCTGTGGTATGTAAGAGAAACTGTGTACATCAAACTTTCTCAATTAGAATTCTCCACAAAATGGACGCCCTCCACTCAATCTAAATAGGCTTTTGATAGTGAGGTTTATCTGTTAAAAGATTGCTTAGTACTACTGTATGTGTCTTAAGAGGCCAAGAGTCATGTAATCGTCCAAAAGTCGGACCTGTGTAGTTAATACCTCAAAGGGCGCAGAAGCACCTTAGATCGATAATCGAACCTGAGAACGAACATATGAAAGAGACAAAATGGACAAATAAAGCAAGTATAGGACGAAAGGGTAACGAACACCACAATTCGTGAGTTCTGCTCGATTACCGCTAGTATAAATATAAAACAGATGATTAATTACACTCCTTCTATTCTATGCAATCATTAAACAGGTGGCCTCCAACTCCCACAAATGCACCCAGCAACCACTAAATAAATTATTCAAACGCCAGCGGAAGGAACCCATCCGAATGAGCCCCATCCATTGGCCACGGCCAATCCGACAACAATTCCGGTGGTAGCTGGAACTGCATCATCTGCCCACCCATTCCCGTCGGCGGGCCGACTGCCGGGACGGGGCCACTGGGAGGAATATATGTTGCTGATGGGAAAGGCATTTCGCGTTTATTATCGATCGGGATTGCGTTATGTTGAGGGTGTGGGTGTTGCACTGTGAGATTGACTAGCCGGGAGCTGCGCATGTAGCCGTCGATTCTGTCTACTTGCGACCGGAGTCGTTGGCTGGCGCCGGCGGCGCGCTGGAGACCTGTCTCGAGGCGACCGAGGAGGTCGGCCATTTCGAGTCTGTAAGAGCTTATTAATTTGGGAAATTGGCTTGGGATGCGTAGAAAACTTACAGCAACGTGCGGACGCGTTGATAGGATGCTTCTGATAAACTTCCTTCCATCACAGAGCCGAGGATATAGCCGATTCCGCCAAGATGATGGAGCTGGGAGCGGTTAGTCAAATGGGGGCTGGAAAAGCAATGATGAACATACTAAAGGGGAGCTGATGGCTTTCAAATACTCCACGGGAACGTTGCTGAAGACACTGAGAAGTTCTCCGGCCACGTCACATTTGCGGTCTACGCCAAGCTCTTCCGCTGACAAAAGCACCATCCGGAGGAGCTGCAGTGTTGCCTGGATGTTGGCAGATTGAAACCCGAACAGGTCTTTGGCCATGTCGCCTGTAGTGGGTGGTGTTTCTTTAAATTGCGACGGCAGTGCGGCGTACATGGATAGTACCCTCTCCATGACTGCTGGTTCTGACATGGATGCCGGGGTGAACAGAGACCACACCTGTGAGGTTCCGTTGGCTGACGAGAAACGACGCCGATTGCCGTCGACGACGTATTCTAGAATTCGATACAGATCGGTCGTAAAGTTCCAGCCCCGAAGCCATGCTACAGGTTGCCGTGATACAACGGTCACGTCGCCCGAGTCCGGAGACACGGGAGGCATCCCATAGCCGTGTAGTGTGATGAGCTCATCGTCAACCTCACTCGGATATCTTACCAGAGAATGCGCTTCGCGATATCGAATCACGCCTCCCCATACGATGGTAGAATAAATATCCAACGTGTAGATAGACCAGAACTTCATAGCATTAAGTTAGCGGGAACCGTAACCATAAGATAAAGGAATGCATACTAGTCTTCGCCGCTCCTCGACTTCGATAGGACTCAGGTTTTTCGGCCACAGCTTCTCATCGTGAAGGCCCTCCATACTGGTAAGAGTATGGTACATGCCGGAAAACTTTTGCATATTCTTGATCTGGCCATTCTGAATGCTGGCAATTGCGAGAATGGCGCATGCACGCATATAGTTAATGCCTCTTGCCGCTGCAAGATCTCGGGGGATAGAATCCTTGGCTGCGGCATAAAAAGCCTCAGACGGAGGTTCGGCAAGTTCCTCGCGATGCCATCTATTAGTGAACAATGCGCCGTCTCGGGCGCGTCCCGAAACTAACGCACAGACAGCCATTGTAGAGGCAAATAACCCCGGATTTCGGAGGTGCTCTTGGTTATTAACTCTTTCAATAAAAGATTGCTTGTGGAAAAGCGGGAAGCTGGTAATTTATCAGCCATAGAAAAGGATAAGGGCAATGATAAGGTCGATTCGTACATTGGATACACAATCTCGAAGTATACCTGCACGAGATTTCGGATTTGACGATCACTGGCAATGGCAAATGCATTCCATGA